AAATAGAAGTAAGCTCAACAGAGAAGAACTAGACGATTTCCTGATCTTCGTAAACGAATTCGGTAAAAAAAGTCAAATATACCATGGATGTGGAGGAAACTCTTAAGAGAAAACTTTTCCGAAAAAATCTCACTTTGGAATAACACTTAACTTTCAGAATAACTCACATGTTTCTTGGAAACGGATATCCAGAAGAAGCAATAAAACGAAACATACGGAGGGTGATGAACTGATGGAATGACGGAGATTATGAAAGGAAAGCAACAGGAATGGAGCCTGCGAATTGGCTCGGAAGCTAGGGTCGATACTAGTGAAATGGAACATTCGTACAATCCTGAAGGAGAGGACAACCCCATTCACCAGATTCATGGAAGATTCATGCTGACGCTGTTTCCGAGGCAATCTGCTTCGATTCCGGTGAAGAGGTGCTAAGCTATCGTCCGTCATATGACGGACATCATCAGAGCGAGGTAACAACATCACAACAAAATTCAGGCTTGCGAGTATATGACGGACATCATCAGAGCGAGGTAACATCGTCACAACAAAATTCAAACTAACGAGTCAAGAAAACTCACCGGCAAATCCTCATTGATCAAGTATGAAGTGATTTGGTTAGTTACGGTCATATGTCAACTTCGACTGATAGTAATGCCAATCGACAACTGGTCAAGAGGAATCCGCCGTCGTCTTCTGGTGGAACGGATCTATAAATCTCTTCACCAGACACTTTCAATCGAAATGGAAGTAAGCACAAGTGAGCAATTTGTCAATTTCTCCTCGACGCCGCCATTTAGGGTCAAAAACGAGGGCGAACCAAATATGGTGGGTTTTCCATACTCAGTAACATTTTCATACAACTGTATGCACCCTCTTGAAGTTCACCTAAACTCGCTTACCAGATGGCATTCTCGTCCAGGATTGACCCAGTTTCGATTTCATGTCATTTCGATAAATGTCAAATATCAACGCTAGAATGATTAATATTATTATTATTTGTTAATTCCCACGAAAATATTGTTGATAGTATCGAAAAGTAGTCTTATTCTCAGTTAATCGTCTCTTTCCTGCCCGCCTTCTCTCTCATGAATCACGACTTTTGGGTCGCTTTCATTTTGCCCAAAGCATGCACAGCTTCGTGATCTCTCGCATCATCAGTCGAGTTCGGAGATGCTGACATTGCGAGAGCAACGTCTGATGGATGAACTGCTCACGGCACGGCAGGAGTTGGCATGCCTCCGGCGCTCAAACAGCCTGGTCGAGCCAGAAACTGGCGCAAGCACAAGTTCGACTGGCACCGATCAACTCTATCGCCGGCAGTCTCAGATGACCCGGCAACAGCATCAACAGCAACAGCAGCATCAAGAGCGTTTTTCAGCCGGTTCAACCTCTACAACAATGACATCCGATTTCCATCGGCGCTATCAATCGCAGTCTGATCTTCATCCAACAGGGTATCTGAAAGATTATACTTTTATTCACATACTACTTCATATTAGATAATTAGTAGTGTAATTATTAAAAGGAATAAAATCCGAGCCACACTCAGTCGCTTAAGATCATACAACAACAAATGAGATGATTTTTCCTTGCCTCAAAAAGAGGTTTTATTTTGGCTAACTCTTGCTACCAACTGTTGCCAGTGGATCACAGGACAGATATCCTG